GGGAGACTTGCGAGAACTTGTCCCAGCATGTGGTGCCCCGCACGTGGGAGATAGGTTGGGAAAATCTTCGCAAGCCGACATCGATCACCATCTAGATGGGGAACACCGCCACCTCCCGCGACTAAACCATGCACTGCACTAACAAGACGTTGACGCGTCCGGAATCACTAGTCAATCAAAACCAGGGAGTGCCGGAGTAGCATCTTAACAAAAGGACAACGGACGGCTTACTTTCCTCTTCCCTGTCCTTTCCTCGCCCACGTACACACACTTGTAGTACATGCACTACACTACCACACATGTCGGGAGCTTAAAGCTTGTCCCGCTAGGGCGGTGCCTCTCTGGTGCGAGATACGTTTGCGGAAAACCCCGCAAGCCGACGTGTAGGTTGGCGCCGGATCTCACCTAGTGAGGGAGGATCACAGACTCCCGCAATAAAAGCATGCACTACACTTACAATGACCTTAGTTGGCGCGACTTATCAATCAATCAATCAAAGATAATAATCATTTACATATTAAACATTTTGGCGACTCAGCTTCATGTTTAAAAAAAATGTTTTAACGTCTCGCCCTAAGAAGGCTCCAATCCATGAAGTAGATACTTTCACATCTTCGGATTGGAATATTAAAATTCAGATCAGAAATTAATGTCATTAGTATTGTAGAAAGAGGATTCACAATCTTCCATGATAAAATACTAAAATATTAACAGTTGCACCATTCTGACGCGCCTGAGACATATCTACAATTCCAAGGATGAACAGAGACTTTTGAACAAGATTGTTGAGTACTTGTTGAAGCTTTTTCATGGCCTAAGAGATACGAAATTTGAAAACCTGTTAAATATCCAAGAAGCAGCTGCAAGGGTGTCTTTTAAAAACACTGCCAAACTTTCTTGGAAACAACAAGTTTGAGAATTACAGAGAAAATGTAATTTTACTGTAAACTGCTTGACAGTATAGCGTCATGTGTGATGGGTTATCACAAGGGTAATTAAATAGAAATAATAGATTTATGTAATTATAATTTGGACGGCAGCAACAATGAGGATATAGAAAAGAAACAGAGGTGAGCATTAGTTTGGAAACAATACAAGGAAAGGACAACAGAATTGATAGTGGGGAAAATACATAATATGTTAATAAATAATGCAGTGAAAGGACAAGTCAGCAAATTCCGTGGCCGCAGAAAATAAATTAGGAAGTGTTCACGAACATCGTGTTTACGATCGTGTGAGAAGAATCGAAGGATCGGAGAGCGAGAAACGAAGAAGAGACGTGTTTGAGTACAATTCCGCGCAGATGAGAGGCAGATAAAGGGCGCGCAAGATGAAAAAACAGGGCAGGCGATGTTCGGACACGGTGTGAGTCAGATGTAGGAGGGAAAGCGATTTGGTTGCGGGAAGAATTAGACTGAATTGTTAGTTTGTAAAGGCGATGTTTTAAGGTAGTAAACGAACAATTAGAGAAGAAATATAATTTTGTGTGTGGAGAACGCGAACACCATCGAAGTGGAATTATTTTAGAAATGGAGGCTGAGTGGAAGCTGATCGATGTTTATCATTGCGGTGGATCTGCGCAAGAAAAGTAGCAAAACGAGGAACATTTATTTTCATTTGTATTTGCCATTGTAGGAAGACAAAGTGTTGTATTAAAGTAACATTTTTAAATTAATAATTACGAGGGAATTTGGCTATGCATGCAAGGAAGGAGGGAACTGTAGCGAGTATTAGATAATGAGAATAGGGGAATTTATGAGAGGACATCTGATTATGAAAAATTGTTACTTACAGATTAATACAGATAGAAATGTTGTAACCGAGGTAAGTATTGTTATTTCTGAGTGACAACAAGAGAGTTCCCAATCCTACGTAAAAAGGAAATAAAATAACTATTTTACGTAAATATTTCGCTACCATGTATCTGTATAGATGGCTTATCAGACCCATACATGTATAAAATGTATCATGACGGGGTAATCTTGGGATACTCTTCGGGTAATAGTCGGGTGAAATGTGGAATTTTAAATAGTAAATTCAAGAGAGTAATTAAACAAATAGGTACCAAGAACGGTCCCCAGACAGATATGGGATGTAACATTTTTTTGAAAATAAACATGTTGATCTCCCATTTTAATGCCTTCCCTGAAAACTTCGGCACAGTCAGCGACCAATGTGACGATTGTTTACAGCAAGATATCTCTGAAATGGAAATGCGCTACTAGGGGAAATTGACTCCAATTACGTTGGCTATTGTTGAGCACTTCTTGGTCACTCAGGAGACATGTTCCTCAATTGAAGTACAGGGAAAAATCTAAATAACATACATTTTAAGAATGTAAACATAAATACAATTAACATATAATGCATAAATGTCAAATATATTTATCCTGCTATTGGTAAAAAGGTATGGATGATAGAAAAGTTAAATTCAAAGATTTGGAATTTTATCCTTTATCATAACGAATCGACTCCGACATCACAAAATCAGTCGCGATCGAGGGGACGAAATCGAGGATCGAGTAGTGGATATAACATATTATTGTTTCGTAGTTTAAATGAGAATGGCGCGTGTTAATTTATCAAAGAAGTATTTTGAAGTAAAATGCGGAGGAAGTTATGGTTAGGCAGGCTCAAGAATGGTTTGTGTTAATCGCAAAGGCTGAATGTCGGAGCCTCGTACTAAATGAAGAGATACAAGTAGCAAAGTATCAAGTGTGACTTCGAATTGTTCGTCAAAAACGTACTTTGGAATAAAATGCGTTGGAAATTATGCGTTAGATGGACTCAAGGATATTTTAAGCTAACAGGCCGGAGGCCGGCTTCTCGTCACGAAATTGGACTCGCGAAGCAAAGTGTCAATTTGCCTTAAAGGTTTCAGGTTATAAATACAAAGGGCGTACTACATTGTTTTACACTTTATTTTTTCTACTCAAATGAAGTACGTCAGTTGTTACGTCCACCTTTTCAACATAATCTCCTTGTAACTGAATGCACTTTAGCCATCTATGTGTCAGTCTCTCCAGACTTCCCTGAAACCATTCTTTTTGGAGAGTTGCGTACCCATGCCTTGACAACTGTGTCCAGTTCGTCGAAATTCGCAAAACGGCGATCATGCAGAGGTTTTTTCATGTTCCCGAACAGGTGATAATCACTTGGTCGGGAGAGTATGGTGGGTGTGGCAGCATCGTGAATTCCATTTGATAAATTGCAGCAGTGGTCTCTCGGCTAGTGTGAGGAGGGTTACAGAAGCACACTTTTAGCCCATTTTCCTGGCCGCTTTGTTTTGTCACGACGTAAGCACTTAAGGATTGCCTTTTTCCATAGGAACCAAACACCCTGACGGTTGCTTTTCATGTTGTCTGCTCCTACTCTTACAAAGTTGTTATGAAATGGCTATGACGAGTGATTTCGTTGGCCCCCATGCTTTGTGCTGCAAACGAACTGTGAAACAAGACACTAGTAAAGGGTGGTATTCACCACCTTCAGAAGTAAAGGGTGGTATGAATAAAAGTAAGCAATTACTCTTTGCTCCGAGTTTCAGAGATCCTTTTCAGTTTTGTATGAATAAAGTGGGTGAGCAATTGCTCAGTCTCTGAGCACTTGCTCCATCTCTCAGCGTACTCTGAACTGGCAAGCAAATGCTCAGAAATTGTATGAATAAAGTAAAGTGTTTACTCTTTAGAGTGAGTACTTGCTCCAAAATTTCGGAGGGACCCTAGTAGCAGACTCACGTTTGAAAAATGAGGTTAAATTGGCCGATTTTTTACCGTGCGTTGATTTGCAGATGCAACGGACTAAAAAATTACAAGATAAAGCGAAATTCTCGTGATGTAGACTCTTAGAATCATTACGAAAAGGAATCGAGGAAATCGAAAAGGACAACGTATGGTTGGATTTTTATTGGCGTTTGCTTTCAGGCGCGTTGTCATATTGCATATCTTTGCATTTCTTTACATATCTTCTATGTTAATTGGCCATCGCTCTTTTCTACTCGGAATTTTTCGGGGTAATGTTTTTTTAAACTTTGTAAATTATTCAAAAATAATTTTATATTCGCTTAGCATGTCGTTAAAAACTAGCTGAGCCTCTGTTCTTCGTTACTGCTACTCATATTCGAATTTAAAGAACGAGACTACAAAACATTGCTCTTTGCTCCCCCCAAACATGCCCGACGCACGTAACGTATGTAACTTCTTTGTTACTCAAGAAACCAATTTTCAAATTCTAAGGTGCACTACCATTTGCTCATAATGAGCAAATGCACGCGGGACATGAGAAAGTTCTTCGGAGACATACGACGCTTTTATTCATACGAAATGGAGCTTCTGCTCATTTGCAGATGGATGGATGCTTCTGCCGCGGTGTAGACTCACTTTGCTCCGAAGCAAGTACTCCTGAGCAAGTGCTAATTTGTATCATATGACCCAAAATGTGAACCATACCGGGACGTACAAAAAATAAAATGTAAAACAATATAATACGCCCCTCGCACAACGTCATCGAGCTCCCGCTCATTAGAGGCCATTTAAGTCGTGGGTGCTTGTTGTCGTTCGCCAACATAGACATACTATAGTAGGGCTACAATTATGTCTATGTTCGCCAAGATGTCGCAGAATGAGCCCATTCCTTCACGTCCGTTACGATAAAGGAGAAGAGCAGAGATTTGAAATCAGCACAATAAAGTCAGTGTCCCATAGTTACTCTTTTAACAAAAAAATGTTGCTGACCAATGTTATTAAACCTAAATGATCTCATACTGCTGCCGATGGATATCTTTCGGTTCAAAAATGTGAATTTGCATTTTCTGAGAGCGGCGAGGTCTCAGAAGAATTTTAGCGATAAGACCACGATGTAAGCTTAATACAGAAATAACTGCTGAGTGACTTCTAGAAAATCTAGCATTGTGAAATTTATTCATAAAAAGAATATTCTTGGGAAAAATGATGTAACATCTGTGATTATCCTAAGCATATGCATACTCTCTAGAATCTGCAATTTCTTTGCTATGCTCAGCAGCCTTCACTCACCATTTCCCACCATTCCCTAGCACAGTTGGCGCATGGTAAATCGAAGTCTTGAATTTCGTTTGTGAGTGTTGTTTTGAATTGTACACACGTGTTCTGTATTTTTTTCTGACCAACAAGAATTTATTATCGATATGGAGGACGGAAGAAAACAGACAATTGCGAATCTCTTGAAAGATATTGAGAGGTTTGTAAACGTGTCATTCAGCATATTGTAAATCTTAACCTCAAAACTACTTATTTTATTATTTTTGTTTTAGATATAATCCGGAAAATTTACCGACATTGGAGTGCTATGTGGAACACCAATGCCGTGAAAACACGTATGATTTGGAGGCGAATCTGGCTGTTTTGAAATTATATCAATTGAACCCCCAACGTTATAATATTGGAATTATCTGTCAAATTCTCTTGAAAGCCCTTACAAATCTGCCCCATACAGATTTTGTGCTTTGTAAATGTTTACTAAATGCCAAACACGTAAGTTCAGATTTAATGGTAGCAGTTTTTCTAACATATTGCAGAAATATCGATATGTGGTGTTATTGGCTACTTTAATCCTTTATAGGATAGTGGTTAATTTTTAAGTCCTAAAAGTAGTTTTTTTATATTGAAAACTGACCCGTCACAACAGATTAGATGTTTCTAAATGGATAGTAGTTGTTTAAAAGTTCTCTTTTTCTTTATCTGAGGTTGTTAGGCTTTACTTCTTGAAATGGTCATCAAGTAGCAGACCATCATCCATGTGAGATGTCTTTGCCACCTTTTTGAGTGCGCAAACTAAAATCATTTCACTGAAGACTATATTGAGAGAATTCATTAAATGTAAGGGTACACAGTATTTATGGAATTAAGTTGCGTGTTCTACATCGTACGTACCTTTTATAGAATTTAAGTGGGAATATAATTAATACAAACAAAATCATGAGTGTAAGAACAAAACTATATGATCTTTTATTATGTTTTAGTAAAGTTGTGTTGTATCTCATAGTATGTTAGTACGTTTCCCCTAATCTTTTTTTCTGCAAAATACATTACTCTTTGCATTTTTTGCATGCGGTCTGTTAATTCTCGTGTCTGGGAACAAGAGCTCCCACGTGCCCTCGTTCATTAGATATGCATTGGCAGGCGGAGCCAACCGGTGCATTATCCCCAGAGCCCTTGCGATAACCTGCATTTCCTGTGATACAATCCAAGAAGGCATGATCAACTTTCAGCGGAATAAAACATTACTGATACTTTTGGATATCACCAGAAACTAGACTTTCAGACAAATTTGAAAATTTGCACAGACTTAAAGTGGGGTACACGGTACATCCTCAAGAGAAGCATGGCGGCGGGGTCTTCTTAAGCCTTCCCTCAAATTACACTATGCGCTTCGGTAGAAATGAATAAAACTTACAGATGGCCGATTTTCATGTCTCACCCTTCATACGCTTTGCCCTCGCCACATTGTAATGCCAATTTACTTTCAAAGGCAAGTTTTCTCGCTTTGCTCGCCTGAATCCAAGTCACGGCAAGGCTCGAGCTTTTGACCCTCACGTTCACTATAAACATTCTTGAGCCTATCCACCGCATAATTACCAATTCACTTTTATAAGGAAGCACTTTTCAAGAAAGCCTCCAAAATTCAAACTGCACAGTTATTGCTGGAGCAGTTAAGTGCCCGATTAAACGACTTCCATGAGTTGTAAGGTGTACTAGACTTAAGCCTTGCATTGTATTCACCTTTGGTCTATTTATTGGTCAATGATCAAGTATTTGATTCAGAGGCCGATGATGTATAGCCAAATTCTCATCCCTCTAATAATGAGAGGGGAGATGATTTTTCTGTTACTCTCTTAGTGGTGATATGATACAGCCATACTTCAATAAACAATTTATAATTATCCTTCAATATATATTCGCAGGCTTTTGGAACAAAAGAAGTTGATTTAGAATCTTCTATGGATATGTCATTTTTTCTAACTTTAGATTTATTGTTAGTGATTTTAGAATATATTATTAGAGAATTAAATCTATGTACTTGTCAGGTAGGTACTGATGTTCTGTCACTGAAGTTGTCGTTCGGTTTTGTATGAATGCCAGAACATATTGTATCTTTTCATTAAAAATATCCCGTTTTTATTTCTGGTGTAAGGGATTCTTTTAAATGACTGCCATCCACAGTAGACCAAGGCCTACCCAAAAACAGTGACCTGTATTTCAACCTTTTTCTTCCCACATCCAAATAAAATGAAAATATATAAATTATAATAAGTAGGGGCGCATTTTAATGAAATATCTTTTTTTCTTATCACTTGTGAGCAATGCCTGTACAAACTATTAATATTAAAGTGTACATATTAATTTTGGTATGACAAAAGAAATTGACTCATTTTTTGCCTGCATTTTCTCTCAATTTTACAAACAAGTCATTTTTAACTTTTTCTGTCATTTTTAATGCATTTCTCCCTGATTTAGTTGATTTTTAATATTTTAATGGTACGTGCCTCAAATAATATGTACGAGATGCAAAAAATGTTCTCCACAGAATTCCTGAGTAGCCTATTCGATTTCTGTCTTTAGAAATTGTAATGTCAGCGGTTGTGAGCATGTCATCGAAGGTTCCTGTGATACCCATTGTCAGTTCAGCTCATTTTGGGATTATTATTATTTTAGGGCATTTTTATAACTTTTTAAGAGCAGTTTATAGATCATTTTTGTTGATGTCTTAGATCATCAAAATCTGTCCTTTAATTATAAGCAATGTAATAAAATTTTTACAAAAATGTGTGTTATTCTGAAAATTATTATTCTGGGTTATTATGAAAATAGTATCTAATTGATGGTAATGCGTGGTTTAATATAAAAATAAAAATTTCATAATTACTTTGTGTCAAAATCATTTGAAATTGCTTATCAAACAATGAAACAAGCATGCTACATTTATTCCACCTTGTTCTTTTTATAGTGAATGATCTTATATACAATACTTATAGTAGTACTATGAACACAAGGAAGAGCTTACTTATTAGATGTATGTTTTATAACTTTCAGTTGGAAGAAAGTCTTGTTAAGCAAATAATGCAGCTAGCTGACGTTTTAGAAAGATGTGATTTCCGTGAGTTTTGGGCAAGGATTCACACACCGGAGTTCGCTGACAACATTGTCCATATTACTGGATTCCACGACTCTATTCGCAAATACGTCTGTCATGTTGTGGGAATCACCTTCCAAACAGTTGATAAAACTCTGCTTGCAGGACTTTTGGGTGGTGTTGACGGTAAGTTGATAGTTTTAAAACTAATGTAAGTTTGTCATTAAAGAGTTCTGAATCAATTTCTTTTCTAAATGGTATTCACCAACATCCATGTTAATATAATATAGTAAGTATAGAATAAGTTTTTTTCTTTTCCACAAGGAAAATAACTTGTGCTTTATTAGTAATAAAACTAAGAAGAATATGCAAGTAATATGTGGGTTTGCATATAAATTGCTTTGTTATGATTTTAAAAAATGATGTTGGGGAGGAGATTGAGTGTCATAAATTTTTGTAACTTTAATGGCCTTGCCATTTAATGTTAATATCAGAAATGAAGGGTCTAGTAGAATTTAAGGTATTGAAATGAAGCATTTGTGTAATATGTAACATGTTAATTTTGTATTTAAAAATTTTGTATTTTAAAAATTTTACTATTTGCATTGTTTTAAACATTTATTCATGTGGGTTCTTGAATTTAAAAGATTAGATCCAATTAGTTACAAAAAGAAAGGTTAATGCTTGAATTAAAGTTAAATCTTTGCGTTTATTTAAAAAACCATATTTTGCTTTCTTCATTATATGGGCTCTACGTCAGAAAGTAAGTTTCCGGACTGACATTGAGTCGCTCCTCTCTCTGGTTTGTGCTAAGCCAACTTGGTAAGCTTGTTGTAGATGAGAAATGTGAACACCTGTGAAGTTACATAAATTTTCTACGTTTAATCACAAGGTGTTTGTTCTTTGTTCCTACATTTACTTTGCTTTTAGTTCTTTGTCAGATTGCAAAATACAGTGCCAGGTATATGGATCACAAAGGTTTTGTCTTATTCTGCAGACAAATTTTAGTTTGAAGTAGAGAATCTGGTTCAACTTACCAAAGTTGTTTAGCAGCTTGTGTCACTTGAGTGAAAAGGAAATCAGAGGAAACCTAATGGTGGAGGCAAAGAGGAGAGATTTTGAAAGGGAACTTTTGATGGTCAGGGGTTGTGTGGTATGTGGTGTTTCCTGTGCATGTTCATTGTTTAGTGTTATGGAGATTTAAAACAGTGAGTTTATTTAGTAAAATCCAGTAAAATAGTAAGATAGATGTAATTGGATTTCTAAAATGACAACTGTCTGAGTTCGCTCAGAGGCAGCATTGCCATGGTTTTGAGTCCCAACAGTGGTGAATTTTCAACACCAGCTATGCAGCCAGGTTGAATTCAGCCATTGTCTGGAGAAGAATTCTGGCAGACATCTGCTCTGAGCAGTAGTTTTCTGTGGCTTCTCCGATTAATGCTGGAACAGAATCTTAAAAAAATTGGCAACAGAGAGCATACAATCTTTTATTTTCTGTTTTCTTCCTCTTCGTTCCCTTTTTCCCCTTACACATACACACACACACACTTACATCTACCTTATATGTTGGGAGACCAGTCAGGAACTTAAGTGCTTGTTCTGGCTAGAGCAGTGTTCTGCTGGTGGGGGGGGGATCCTGGAGGTGGGAACCCTGCAAGCAAACACAAGGGTCGGTGCCAGATCTCTTATTCGGAAATTGGGGAGGAACAACGTTGCCTCCCAGGATGTAACATATGCTTCACGTTTGTTTTGAAACTAAAGACTGTAGCAGTTGATGCACCTGGAACATCAATCAATCTGACAAACTCCAGTGATGAAGTGAGTGCTTTCAAGAAACTAATTGAAAGATATGTGTATTCACCATGCAACAAATTTATAAGGCTAATTTCCCTAAAAGAATTCTTGAATTAAATGCATTGGCCCAACATCCCCAACAAAACCCAATGATGTTTTGTTAATCGCAAGGGGTGAAGGCGCAAACCTCATTCTCATCATGGAAATGTGTAACTGAGTGATATCTTGGTTCAAAAGTAATTTGGTATAACAATTCAAGAGAAATTGCAGAGGCAAAGCTAGTGTGTTGGAGGTGTCATTAGGACCCATGTGCAGGATATGTATGTTTTATTAATTTCCATGTGAGTGTTTTTGTAATTTAATTGAGAAATCATGAATAATGGATGCCATTCCATCTCCCCTCCCCTCCCAATACACCTTCTGGTTCCCATCCCCCCTTAACTTTCTGTCCCCAAATCACTATTCTCCAAGTGTGTACAGGACTTTCTACTTTAACCAAAATATGCATTTATATAATTTTTGTTTTATGTTCTTGCTACATTTCTATTGGTCATACCTTCATCTTTCGAATTGCTTTGCAAAAAAATGTTAAGAAAAGGCATTTATTGTATCTTAGGGATTTGTGGATTTTTCTACCACTTTTTTAATAATCCCAGCTTTTGTTTACAGAGTTGTTGAAATATTTTGGTATTTGCTCATTGTCTCAGTGCTTTCTGGAAATTGCATACATGTCATATCTGGCAAATGTTCAGTATTCTTGCAGTTTCCTTTGCTTGCTTAGCAGAATAATTGATTCTCAAAAATCTTTCCTATGTAAATAGAAGGTAATTATTCTTGATAAAAACTGCATTCAAGAATTTTTCTTTGCATATTCCTCTTGGAACTACTATAAGTGATACAGGAAACATTGTCCGGGATATGGGATTAATATTCACTTTTCCCAGATTCCTTGCATGTGCATTGTCAGGGAAACCTGACAGTTTCCTGATAAACAGATTAATCACAGTTAGGTCTGTAATATAACAATCAGAAGAATTAGAAACACCAAAGAGTGTAGAGAGAGATTGTTGTAACTGATCTAATTGAATACATTTTATTTCATAGACCTTGAATGTATGTATGAAATGTGTGTTTTTATGTCAACTGCAGTGGGGTCAAATTTTGTGAAATGCAGATTTTTATTAAATGATAGAACGATTTACAAGACGTGTAAGATAGCATAAGGATGGTGAATAAATAAGAAGGGTCTTACGCAATTATATATAATAATACGACAATCTCTACAGAAAGGTTAAACTATGTTTTCTATAAAATCATTGTAATTATCTTAGACTGCAAAATACCACTTGAACATTCAATTACTCTTGAATAATATATTTTTGATATATCGGATCATGCATGAATTTTACTCAGATTAATTTTCCAATTAAGAAAGTAAGTTGTACAAAAGTGAACAGTTAACTTATCTTTTTAGCGGTTAAATTCCCTTGTTATCTCTAATTTTCTCAAAAATATCCTTGAAACATTGTTCGTTTAGTAATTTTACAGCTGTTTGCTGCTAATTTTTCATAACTTCCTTAAGGTGTACCCTTGTTTTTTTATAATTTTATGACATGTGCCTTTTCGCACTTAAAAATGTCAGCAAGACTTCTCACATTTTCTAGATCACCTGCCTTTTTTCAGCTAGTTTCAAACACCTTTAACTAGTCATTCATTCTCATGCGAAAATTGCTTTCCTTCGCCAAATTCGCAAGTTAACTGGACTTCAAAATGTTATTCACATGCTTTGAGCAGGGCTGTCCCAGGAGGGAGATCGCGAATAAAGATTGGTGTTGCACATGTTGCATTCTCTGCAAACCGTTGACATGTTTCGACAGAGGGGCAGCACAGGGTAGGAAACTTGCAATAACACTGCGGAGTGGGCAAAATAACAAGTTGATATTTATATAGATATTTATTAAAATCATCCTTGTTATAGAAATTAGTTTCCCTACCAAATTGTTCTAAGTAATCTGAGAATGCATTCCTTCACAAGAAGATTCTGAAACAAAAGTGTCTTCATTGCTCTTACACATCTTATTCTAATACAGTTGAAAATCGCTAGAGGTGATCATGTTTAATGGAGTTCAATATATAAAATGCACCTGGTCGTGGGGCCAGGTGATCTTTTAAAACACACAATTTTTACATGTGACTAATTGAAAAATTAACCAGCCCTACAGTAAATACCCATGATGCCATTTGGGCAGGTTACTTTATAATTTAGTTGTTTGGTCAGTGTACAAATTGTGTAATGTTAAAATGAAACTAATTACAAGTTTCTAATGTTTCACCATTCACTACATCCTATTGTTGACAATTAACAATAAGTTTAAATTAATTTGATCATCATTGCAAAAGCTGAAATATTTTAACTATTTCTAATAACTCCTCCATAAATAAATTAATATTGGAAGTTGAGCCTCTCAGGGGTAATTTTAATTGTATATTTTATTTTATTTTCCAGACCAAACATTAAAACAATGGGTGAAGAAGTATGGCTGGAAAGAAGAAGCTAATGGCATAATATTTGTTGCTAATCAAGATGAAAACATCAAAACGAAAAATATCACAGAAAAGATTGACTTTGAAAATGCCGCTGCAATAATGGCAGCATCCCAATAAATTTATGTAGTATTAACAATAAATTTTGGATATTATTTTATCCTGTATACATTTTCATTTTTTGGTGAAATGTTTGTTTATCTATGTATATATAATAGATATAGAGAGATTTTTTTTGTGTGCTGAGGTGTGTAATTTACGTGTTGTTTGAAATCTTTGTGCAGTTTGTATGCAATTTTGTGTGTGATTAGTGTGTGTGTTGTGTATGATACTACAGGTCTAATGGGATTGGTGGTTTTTTGATAAACCATATAATTCTAATAATTAATAATTGAGCTAATGAAATTAGCCCAAAGTGTACACCCCTAACTCCACTCCAAGACCCTCCCACCTCCAGTACAAACCTTGCCCCTTCGGCCATGCCATGCCACTCCTACCCCATCCTCTCCCACTTCTGACTTTGCTCTGTCTTCTTAAACAACTTGCACTTCTGAGGATAAGCAGAACTTCATTTTCTGTCCAGACCCTGCGAAGCATTTTGTTCATTCATTTGGCATACTACTTTACCTATCATTTTGTAATAAATGTGTACAATTTTTCAATTTACATTTCATATTTTCTTTTCATTAATCATGTTCACATTTTCAGATAGCTCTGATTATAGCTAGGTGATCAAAAAAAAAATTAGAAAAAAAATATTGATACCTGATAATCTTTTCTCAAATCAAAATATTAGTTTCTTAAAGATCACTAGAGTGCAACATTATTCAATGAAATAGTAATCATTAACTTAACATTGGTGATTAATAATTGTGGAAATACTTATTACTAAAGGAAGGGTTTTGTCATTTGGAGTGCTGTACTTCAGGTAGCCTGGCATTGAGTAACAAAACAAAGCTAAACATTTTACAACTGGGTATCCAGAGTTCTAAAAAAAAAATCTACTCATAGATTTTATTGAACAGAGAATGATGCAAGAAGTTCTGTTCGAAGAATTTTACATGAAGCTAAATTCAAGTATTATATACCTCATCTTGTATATGGCCTATTGGAAGATGACCCTGATCATAGGGTTCAATTTTGTGCGATTGTTAAACAAAATGAGGGTACATGAAAAAGATTTTTTTCTAATCTAATTTGTCATAAGTCATGATAGCCTAAGAAGCAATTCTGCAGATGTATAACCGCTTTTGTCAAGATTCACTACAGTGCCAAGGCTGTAGCATACAACTCCGTTCCAGAAGCACCTTTCAGATATTGTATTCATTTCCAAAATATTAATTTGAATAATCCACATCACATGATAAAATAAAATTTAATATAATGATTTAAAACAAACTTTACATCTACACACTTCAATCTTTATCACAAAATTATTGTGTACAGTTATTACAGTGATGCTGTTGATGCATTCATTACCACTCATTCACTCCAGCCCTCACAGACTAGCATTTGTTACCAGAAAAAATTGAAAAATGTACAAATAATAATTGAAATAGAGGTTGACAAAAAAAACGGTTAAATGAATTAGATTACTTTTCCCAACCAATCGTTGCATATGTTAAGCAACAAGTCATTCAGTTAGCACTTATGAGACATACAAATATAGGTTTCAAGTAGTTCTTGGTCATTATGACATGGCAGAAAACCTCATACAGGGATTCCCTTTTTTTCATTCGTCAACCCCTGTCAGAAGGATTGTTAGTATCAATGAGCCCCAACTGACATTATTTTTATATCATACATAATCATAACAAAAAGATTGCACAAACTTGTTTTAAAGATATTTCGTTCACCAATATTTTGGTGAAATTTAAATTTTCAATAATCGATGACTCTTCAGTTGGTAAGTAGCAGAGTTTCTTTTAATCTTCATTGCTGTACAATGGTTACAAAATGTTGAGTGTTTTTATGTGGCCCTAATGTTTCTCCAGTGCATATTGCAGGGAGTATTTTCTTCCACAATAGAATGCAATTGTGAAAACATGGTGTTGAGTTTTCTAAACATCCCAAGGTATGGCGCTGCTAGCTTCTCCGATGCCCCTGTGCAGAAAGTCGAAATGGGTTCCCTATCTGCAATGAATATGAAATGAGATATAAATCTAACTGGTATAAGAACATGGATTGGTCATATGGAGAAAATAAAAAAGGCGTGTGATTTATTTTATCCTTTGCCATTATCCATCCGCAGATGTCCTTATTGAGGGGCCCAGTGATGTGCACTGGTTGCACCAGCCCAGCAACACTTTTGATGCTAAGGACAAATGACTGATACAAAAGATGAGGCTTATTTTTATATGCTTGATGCCTTTGGGGGGGGGGGGAGGTTCTCAATTAGTCTTTATTCAACTGCTGAAACTAAATCTAGAAACATTAAATAATTAAACTAAATATTTGATACAAAGTTTAGGACAAAAAAATAAGCCCTGAAAGAGATTGGAAATAGGAAAGGACATAAAGCACATAGAGTAAAAGCAATAATTGAATATCATGCAACAGTGTTAAATGTTGGAAAGTGAATCTCAAAAAATAGTATGATTGTAGAAAATTTTAAACTAGTGGGGCATGTTCAAACTAAATCTATACAATAAACCATTTTCTCCACATATGTATTACATTAGAGCAAATTTAAAAGAATTTTGCTCCAATTTTCTACCATATGCTAACTAAAATACATATGATAATAATAATAGAGAAAATGGTTTTACCTATTCTTTACATGAAAATCTCATAATAGTCATTTCAACCAGAATCCAGGCAATTCCAAAGCCCAAATATCGCTGAAACAGCATTGGCAAGTTATTTGTAAGCAACTGTACATGACACAAGGTTGACATCCAATATTTTTTTAAACTGTAGTAGTGAGTTGTAAGTCATTGAAAAATGTTTTTCATTTCCACCAAACTACGTACATTACATTTAAAATAAGTTTAACAAAAGCTCTTCCACTGTTCACTATAGAAAACTCAATAAAAACTGCCAAATGCCTACATTATTATTCAATTACATACCCAAAGCTAGTACTAGTGTTTGATTAATGGCACAGAGGAATTTCGCATCCCTGTTGTAGTGGGAATTGTCTAGAACTTTCTTGCGCGTGTGATTTTTGTTAGTATAAGAAATTCATTGGGACCTGAGGGTGAGTAATATCAATCAGCATTGTTTTTTGCTGTTTAAAATTGTTTACAACTTGTTGATTTTATATAATCAATAAGCTGGAAAGTGTATAAAAATGAAGAATATTAGTGGCTAGCCTTGGTAGTGAAGGGGCTCAGAACACTATCCACATACATGAAGCTGCAAGTGTGACTCCTGCAAATTCCATGCACATTTTCACCTTGAGGGTTGACTTCTCTTACCACAATTATGTATTCCTGAACCCTCATACGCCTTTGTTAATCGTTCATATCACATCACCGTTTATGATCGCTAGGAAGCAGATTTTGCATATTTTTGTCCATTGCTTGAGGACATAGCTAAGTGAAATTTCTTGATGTTTGGTTATAATTGGATGCTACGTAGACTTAAGTGTCAGCCCTTACTTGGCTGATTTTTCCTGTTCGTATTCTTGTTATTATATGCACATATTTTGTTAAAATAGAGACTTTATCTCTAAAACATTTCTTCTTTTCATAGAATCTAATTTATTTGTGAGCGTTCATTGATACTTGTGCAAATGTAGGACTATTCTTGATATACATTTGAAACCAGGCAGAAGAAATGCAACAAGACGTACAATGTACTTCACAATCACTAAGATGAATATTTACTTCAATTATTTCTCCCAGGAAGTAAGGTACATTGTATTACGTTTGCACAAAAATATATATATAATATAAATATATTTTCGTTCCAAGCATGTTTCTCAATTTTATTAAGAAAGCTTTATAAAGGAAATGAAAAATTGTTAATTTTTATTGCATATTTCAGAATTTTTAGATCATAAATGCATATTTCAAGAGTTTTTGGGGCATAAAAAATCCTCCCTTATGATCACTCATACCCTGACCTGCAATGACAATTTGAGCAGCTAAGGGAACATAATGCAAGTGCCTTCTGTGGCAATATTTGATTTGCTCCCTTTTTTTTCCTTGCCTCTGCAGCAGCACTATTGCATAGACAGATGTTTTCTCAGATCTCGACCTATGGCAAACAGCAACTTCAAGTAATAAACAAAACCATGTCTGTGTGATATTTCTGCCACAAAAGAAGGAGCAAAGCTCGTTTCACCAAAAAGGTGCTTATTATGTTCTCCCAAGTCACTAAATTATCTATGTGGTCATCTCCTATGAAAGCTGAGGCCATAAAGACGTAAGTCTAAATCCTGGCATGAATTCAGTAATGAGAATGAAACTCATTATACCATCAATTATTTGCACGATAATAAATTATTACAGTAAGTAACCAGTTTGAATGGATTTCACAAGGTGGTGTGAGGGTGAGAGAATTATATTAAACATAGTTAAACTTTATTAATGTTTCAGCAAAATTTATTAATATGTATTAACTTTATTTAATGATACACAATACAGCAACTATTTTGAGTATTATTTAAGAACTAATTTGAAGTACATTTGAGCAATATAATCTTCTTGATGTAACAATAACCAGCTTATTAATAATAAGAAATATGCAATTGTGTATTATACTATCAGTGTATTGGTTTTACACTCCTTTAACGACATTTACTTTCAAAGTCCCAAATTTGACCTTTTCTTAAATATTTTCTTTGGACTGATGTTGGGGCAAAATTAATCACAAATTTTGATCCACATGGTTGAAATGCCAAAATAATTTTTGGATTGAGACTAGATGACCTGTTTATGGTTAGTTAATTTAACATCCTTTTTAACATCATATGAGGAATCTCTTTCTGCTTTCTCAACGTAGGGTTTTCCGTGATCTCCAGTCGAAGAATAGTCTTCGAGAAATGGTTCATCTAATAAATGTGGGCGGAATTCCCGGAGTAGATACACCCAAGCAGACACCTTTTTCCCTCCACATTGCACTTCTATCATTTCTCGAACATAATAGTCGGGGTGCCGTTCTAGCACATCTAGATGTTGTAACTTGGGAGAATCTATTTCGTACACTTCTCCCGTTACGTTCTAGGAAAGAGAAAATAAGTATTAATAAATCGACCGCACTTAACTAAGTATCGACACAAATTCTCAAACCTATGGAAAAGATTCTTACGTGACCCTGGCCAGGCACATCCAATAAGAATGGGATGTTATACTTAGTTGCTATAATCAGAGGATACTTTTCTACTGTGACTCCATTGCAGATATATTGAGAGTATCCGAAAGCCTTGTCCTCCATCCAAGTATGATTAGGTTCATTCCTTTTCAAGGTGCCGTATACGAAAACAAAGTCCATTTTCAAAAACGCAGCCTTCAAACAACGAACACTTAACTTTCTCATCCAACCCTTTGTTTTGTTTACCCAGGTTCTGTTGTTTTGTTGTTAATAGTTAACGCGTCATTGTTGAATGAAATCACGTGTGACCCTTCCTTGCAAGTTTTGCAAAACTGTCAAAATGTGATAAACGCGCCAAAATTAAGACTGAAGAAAACCAACTTCGTAACATCTAACATACTATACTACCAACTGTACTAATTATGCAAAACTATCCATTGTCGAACAGTCTAATCTGATTATAAAAGCAATTATAACAAAATAACATCTTGGTATGTAATATACACTTGACACATCTGCCACACTTTGGAAGTAGATATGTGGCCTCTGCTATTTCATCCCGCCTTTATGAGGCACGTTTCATCAAGATTTAGTCATTAATTATTTTTTGAAAGGTGGTTGGTACTTGTTCTATGTTATATAAGAGGGATATTGTCAGGTCATGAAAGCCTCACCAGGCTTTCCAGTATCTTGTCCTTATCTGTATTAATAGCTTGCTTCTGTATTAATAGTTGCTTCATTTAATTTAATTTTAAAAAATTGTTTATATCTTCATAACTCTTTGTTAGTGTGTAGGAGATACCAGGTGATAGATTTTTAACATTCCAATCCAAACAGCTTCGGTACAACAACTTATAAAGTTAGATTTCTAAAACAATAAAGTTAAGCTTCAGTACATATAGCAGGGTTTTTTTTCTTTGAGAAGAAAAGGCTGATTACAAAAATAAAAATTATGTAAATAATCAAAGAATATCTTTTGAATTCAAAATAAACAAGCTGTAGGAATAAAACTGAAGCAAATTTTTCAGTAGAATAATATGTGTCCCAGAGACTGACAATGTAGTTCTGAATACTGTAGCGAATAAAATTAAAAGAACTCACATAATTGATGTGTTCATGGATCTTAAGAAGACATATGTAAAACAGGTGATTGACATTGTAACACTTGAGTTTTTCACATAGCATTAGTTACAGTAAGTTAGAAAAATGGAGCCATACAACCATGAACCTGTTGGCCTGCCTGAAAGTTTTGACTGAGGCCCTATGGCCTTATGTAGTAAAACATTTTATTTCCATCAGTATGTTAAATCCTTGAGTAAAATGACATAGGGTAAGTCTGGTAATTGGGTCGTACTTTTACAACATACTTTACACAGTTTACTTGTAAAATTGATTTTTGTTCCATATTTTAACAGCAAAAAAATTGAAAGTAGTATTTGCCAAGACCCACTGAGTACTAAATTTGTGTGTAATTTAGTTTTTCAATATAAATGATATAATATTTATTTTTGTAATTTGTTTGTCAGTGATGTGTTGATCCTGTTACGCCATTTCTTGGAGTCCCCCCTAAATTTCCATATAATGCTTACATAATTTGTACAGAGTATGTGGACACATTCTGTCTTATCTACGATTGCAAAAAAATTTTAAAAAATACTTACTCCCTTACTCCACACCCTGAAGCTTCTTTATGGAAAGGCCATGCCTATTTCAGAAATAAATGAACCTTTTCTATATGTCTTTCGATAATTAATGAGTATATTATCTTTAGAAAATTCTTTACAATTAAACGTTGTTGATAAATTTTACCCACGTGTATTTTAATTCACCACAGAGAAACGTTACCAACAAACGAAACAATTGGTGTCAGGTGTGGAGTGTGTGTTTAAATCAGTATAACGCGTGGAACGTAAGGAAGATGAGTTTCACAAAAACTTTATGGGATCTGAAAGTAACCGAGTGGAAGAAGGAGTTAGAAGACAGGGAACAAGACTCCACCGGAACGAAAGCAATATCACAAGAACGTCTTGCTAACGCGATGAAGGCAGCAGGAGAGGATCCAGAGGATCTCTTCGAGACGACCGGAAACTTTTCCAAAGCATTAGAAGGACTGAGAAAAGATTTAGAAAAAATAATAACTGATCATTTCAGAAGGTTAGGAAAAGCAGTAACAGTAAATTCCAGAATGCTAAAAAAACAGTGAAAATTACATGTCAGAAGAAAAATTGACAAAACATTACAGCATTTCGGAAGAAAAGCTGTTAGAAAACCTTGAACAACAGATAACACAGAATTATACATTGGTTCGAGAAGAAATCAAGGAGATAAAGTAAAAATAGAGGACAAAATTTTGAAGAACGAAGAGAAAGTTGACAAAATGGAAGAGAAATTTCTGAAGAGTGAGGAAAAATTACTAAATCCATTTGTAGCAGAAGAAGAAGTAGTAGAAAAAGAAGTTTTTAAACGAGTTGTAGAAAATGAAGATGGCTCTCAGAAGAGGATAAATTATTTTGTCTACCGAATTGAAAGGTTGCCGAATGAAAAAACGCCGGTCGTCCATTCCAGTCGGCTGGCCCCATGCGTGGGAGGTAATGAAAATGACGGAGAAGACACCGCAGGAGTCTGTGAGCTGAACATGAAAAAGTTCACTTTTGACGAGTTTATGTCTCATCATGGCGGACATGATATAGCAAAAGGACCCGCAGAAGAAATGACTTCAACGAGTGTTTTTATGAATAAATGGAAGACCATACAAGAACTGAAAGAACAGCAGACAACTATCATTGATAGCCTAAACGAAAACCTCAAGACGATGGAGGCGTATATGCTTAAAAATAACCTGGTAGGCGTTAAGGAACGTATGTCTAAAGCCCGGGCTAACATCGAAGCGTTAAGATACAGATGGAAAGATGCCCTAGAAGAGAAGAGTTCCAAAAGGCTATGCAATCCCTAGTAAAACGGGAAGAGATCACTAGCATAGAAAAAAGACAGTACCCACCACGAGCTCAAAGGAAAAAAGAGGAGGTACCCAGCCCACCAGAAGAAGACGTTAGAAGAGGGAAGAAAGAAAAACAGAAGGCTGTGGCAGAGTCAACAGATGTCACCTGTGA